ACCTGCGCACGCGCGGGAATTGAGTCCCAAGCGACGATAACAACACACGCTAAAACACGCGAAGGCTCATGGGTAGGCGCTTGCTTGTAAACAATGACACGATATGGCCATCTCACGCATGCCCAGGTGACGACTCCCCCGCTTTAAATAATCAATATCGTCATCATTTGTTGTGTCCTGCATTCTAGTTAACTGCAGTTCAATTAAAGTCATAAAAGTACAATGATATCCTATATATTTCAACTTCTAATTTTATTATTTCACCAGCTTCTTATTTTAGACATGGTACACCGTACAACATGTGTTATTGCAAAAATTGCCATACACATCGAAGAGATAATGAGGTTTACCAAAGAGGTAGCCCGGCAAAGGATTACGTTTTACCATTGGGATGGGCTCGAATTCCTCTAAGGCGAGTATCTAATATAAGAATGAAATGATTGTAGTGAATCGTTTCTTATAATTTAATATTTACTTTTGATATTTTTTTATTTTTAGAGTCGCTGACGTCCCTAGCAAACATCACATTGCATTTCATGGTACTGATTCTGAATATGTGAAAAGCATATTGAAATACGGTCTACGTAAACCAGGTGAGTGTATGGCTAACAATTTGTAATTCACCACCACTATAATACTTAATAAGACATTTATATTTTAAATATGTAATTGATTGCAGGAGACAAGACTCCCGATGGTGAACTGATTGAAGAAAGACGGGGACATTTTAACGATGACATGAAACCTGAGGGGTTCGATACAAAACAAATATTTCTTTCTCCCAGTATTATATATTCCGGAAACCGTGCTTATGCGAATATTAAAGAGTGAGTAATCACGTTTTGTATAAAAAAAAATAATGCTTATTCCGACACTTGCTGGCTTCAAAGCTTATATATATGCAAGTCATGAAAGTTGCTAGCTGACTCTTTGGAAACAAACTTGGGTCACCATAGCAACTATTAATGTGCCATGTTTCGTCTGTGTATGACAAAGACATAATTCATACGTAACACGACAATTCATGGCAAACTGTATAGTGCAATTAGATTTCCCAACTTTTCCGGGATATGTACATTGAAATGTAACATCATATGTATGCATGCCAATCACAATGCGCATGTTTGAGGATAAGGGGTTCGGATTTTGTGTTTAATGCACCGACCTATACACTCACACTATAATACAACATTTGAAAGCTTATTATGCCTAGTTTGCAACCATGTATGACGTGGACCTGTAAAATGGTCAGAATGTATGTTATGATGGGGAAACGGGCATGTCCCAGGGATTTAGGTGGCGCCGTTTTCGGAACACACTACACATAGCCGATTTATAAACTGGCATTTACTAAAATTAAGTAACAATCCATGAAAGCTTGAAGTATTGGAGGCATATGAAGAACAAATACGGACTATTTAAGATTATATTTTAAGATTACCCCGTTCAAAATAGGAGCCTGGCAATATTGGTCAATAAGGATATCTGAAATGATTGAAGTATATAAATTTACACACAAGTATTTTCAAACAAAATGAAAAAATGATATCTGTGTTTGGCATAGTTAAAATTAGTTAGAATAAATGTCCGCAATATACTGACTGTTTAAGGTGGAACAATTCTGCCAAAAATAGTGTCGAAATAAACAAGCGATCGAGCCTTGCTGTTTGATAAAACATAAATTACAATTTCTTGATTTTTCATGGAACAAAACCTTATCAAGAATAGCTCATTTCAAAAAAATAATGCTGTTACATAAATACATAACTCAAATAAATAAATAATACAACTGGTATACCAAGTAATTCCAACTAAACAAACAATATTGAGTCAGTAATGAACTACAGTGAAATTGCAACAGCTTTTCAGTCAAAATAATCTGATGTAAAATGCTGTCAATTTGAAAGACTTTAAAGCGGGGGAGTCGTCATCTGCCTATGCGCCAGATGGACATAGCGTGTCATTGTGTCAACAATGAGCCTTTGCGTTTCAGCGTGTGTTGTTATCGTCGCCTGGGACTCAATTCCCGTGCGTGCGCAGGTGACGACCCCCCCCCCCCCCGCTTTAAGCTCAACACTGTAATCCATAATAACTATATCATATATATCGTATCTTCCAGTGAGAACGACTGGCTTTTTGGTATAGCAAAGTGTCAATGTTTTTTCCTTCTCCAATTACAGATGGTATGACAAGGAGTCTGGCACTAAGAATAAGGCAAGAGTTGCATTTCAGGCCTGGATCAGACCTGGATCATACGATGTAAACCATCATACAATCAGTGCCGATTATCAGATTGATAAACACATTCCAAACAGCGAGCTGGAATGGTCCACCAAAGACAAGTCTGCCATTATCTTGTATGGGTTGTTAATTATTTTAGAATAGCAATTTACTTTAATAGCATTAACATCACTACTGTGTTATAAAATTTGTATGATGATTTATCGGGAATGTGTATGATCTACTGCCATTTTATAAGTTCATATTTCGTTTTCACATATCTATTTTAATTATTAAAATACAGATATTAATGATATTAAGGAATAAGCATTTAATTGGTGTACAATACTTTATTATGATGTGTGATAATTCCAACTCTTACAACGTGCCGAATTAAAGTGAACATAATTCAATTACATTATTGTATTGAACACAATGATTTTCAATGCAGTTCTCTGTTCATTTCGATTAAATCATGTGTATGTAATTCAATCGCGTGACTAATATTAGATGCCTGAGATTAAATGAGATAAGGACAATCCTCAATTCCCATTGTGTAAAGAGTAACGTTACATTAAAAAATGGTAGTATGGAGCTAAAAATGAATATTATAAAGATTACGTATAGAGCACAGTTTTTATTATTTAATCAAGTCAAAATCACATTATCACCCTTTTTCATATGCGTGTTTTTCTTATATCGCTGATATGAAAAACAATTATTATTATCCTTATTATTATGTGCAGAATTTAATAATTTATCAATGATAATACAACCGAGCTCTGTGTCACTTGTATCTTTTTACATGTTTTTATTATGTAAACGATGTATCAACAGTTGTAAATTATGTTTCATATCATCTAAGGAAGTGATTATTCTTGTGTTAAACATTAAAAAAAATAGATATTCATTTTCTGGAAGTGGTTTTGAAAGGTTACAAAATAATAGCTATTCGACTTTTTAAGCAATTTGTGAATATGTTGACTCAAGAAACTACGTATTTACAATAAACTTTAATAGAAAAAGATTGCAATTATTGATGAGGAAAGGAACCGAGTAAAATTTCTGTGATGAAATCATGTACGCACACTTGGGTCACATGACGTTGCAGTATTGTTTAGGATCAACAACTTGCATGTATAAAGTAGACATTTTAAACATGTATTACAGAAATGTTATAAACACAGTGTTTACTAATTGTATTCAGTAGTGGCAACTTCGCAATCTTTTAACCGTAAGACACATCCTTGGTAAACACATGATCGCTGCATCTATTTCCTGATCGCATGTTTGCTCTGCCACGCCTTAGAATTTTATTGTAGAGTTGGTAAGATTTTGTAAGAGGAGAAGGAGAGAAGAAGGCTTGGAGAGGTTACCTCAGCTAACCATTTGGATGAATAAAGCAGGACTATCTGTATAAAACTAATGTGTATTCATGAAATCTCTATGTTTAAATGTTACCTGCCAAGCCAGTCAAAGCTCCCTGAACACAACACACTGTTCACAACAAATCACCTATTCAATTACCGGCTACTTGAAATTCGTCACTACACCTAATCCCGAAACATTTATTTTGTGATCGATTATCATCTGCAGTAATAGAGTTGAAAAACATGGCAAAGAGGTTGTGATTCACGTGAATAGAACATGCAGTGATCAGCCATCTGAGGCGAGACGCAGGACATTCGGTTCCAATGAATGAACCTAACAAGCGAAGCGATAATCAATGACGTCTGGGAGGTGCAAACTTGGTGAAGTCGATCACAGTAACTTACGAGCTAAAACCCGGATAAATCGATCAGTACTATTTTATTAATTTGCACTGTCAATATTAGTTGAAAAATTACAAAGAAGGTTTATGCAAATTTTCGGGATATCTCTTTTGTATATTTGTCACCTTTTTTCTGAAAAAAAAACTAGACCACCAATTAAAGGACTCCCGTCAACCGTACAATCAGCCAAGATTTCACCTACACCTGAGATAAAGGACATGAAAAGTATCACAGCCCGAATATAAATGTTTGTGCTCGAGCTCAGATATTTCATATAAACTCACTATCCCTCTTTTGGTCTTGAATTTCACAAGTGACATTTGGTCTATGCATGTACGCATGTCCATTTTGTACCAATAATGTCGCACGTGTCTTCTATGAAGCGCATCGACCTCAGACTTTTACTATTTTGGATCTTCACAATTGTCTTACTGTATTATTTTACCAGTGATTTAGTATATTGTTACATCAAGGGCAATGCCAACAGGTACGTCATTAATTATTACAAGTAATTGTGTAAAGTTCAACAATAAGCGTTTGTATGAGCATAGACCTTCTAAGGTCAATGGTATGAGCACGCAACCGGTTTGAACCCAAATGGTTTCAGAAAAAAAAATCGACTGGAGGTCCGCGAGTTATACCGCGCATTTAACGAGTTTTACTAGTTTGTTTAGTCGATTCGCTAGTTTTCAGTGACTTTTCAACAAAACCCACGGTGATATGCGAATATTACCTATATCCCTTTATTTGCGCTAACGGTGAACCAAATATCAGAATAAAAATGGCGACTGATAGTACACAGCGCAACTGTAACTGGGCAACCAGGACACGTGGACAGTTTGCAAAGGAGAACAAGTATAACGAAGTATAACAAGGCTAACACCACTCTTGGTGAGATTCGTAGCTGTGAGTGTGGGTTGTTGAAGTGTTTGTTAATTATACCACTCAGACGGTATGCAATCGGTTGCAATAAAAGTGCACAGGTGAGGTGACTCACGTACGCACAAATGTTTTGTACGCTTTGTTGTTTGTCTGAATGAATAATTCAAAAAAACGCTTGGCCTTTTCAACTTCTGCTTTCGAACCTCCATTGAAATGTTAATAGCTCTGCCGTTGAAGGTTAAAGACTCTACTTTCTGTGGTTGATATATTTGGCTCGAACTTTCCTTGGCCAACTTTTCAATAGTTCTGCTTCTGACGTTGCACCGCGACTAAAGCT